CGTGAATTAGGGCAGTTTTGCCTATTAGTCACATGTGAAAGTGACCGAAATTTTTTAAAACTACTCAGAATCGCCCAGAATTGAAGTTTATTAGTGTGAAACATATTTTGGACGGAGGCAAAAAGGGGAATTTTCATGAACAAATTTAATGTTTTTGCTGAATCAGCAAGTTTCGCTTTTTACCCCAAAAACCACTGATTTTGACGATATTTGGCTACAATTTTGTCCTTAGTGACCCATAAATGTCATTTTTTGTCGTAAATGGGGAAGCCAACGAGTTGCTATTCATAATAAAGATTGAATTTTCCATCTTATGGTTTCCAGTATAGAAAGAAGGTACATATCGGGGGTGCAGTCAGAAATTGGTGAGTTAAGTGTCAATTTTTGATGTATTTGTTCACTCTGAATGACTACATTCGAGCTAAAAAATATCTCAAAAGTCCCAATTCTCTAGGCCAGAGTCAAAACTGATCAAATTTGTCATCATTTTTCAAATCAGGAGGTTGTTGAATGGAATAAAGTATGAAAAAGTGATGATTTTAGTAAGATTTTGCCAAAAAGTGGGCCAAATTTGTCCAATTTTCTGGTTCATGGTTCAGTGATTTTGGCTAAAAGTTGCAATATGCAATAAAATACTCAATTTCTTGACACAATACTGAAAAATGTCACCATCAGGCAGTGGATTTCATGATGTAAATGAAAAACTAGTCAAATTTAAAGGAAAACCATTGGGTTCTTGGAAAAATGACCCCAGGGGTAATGAAGTAGCCATATTTTCATAATTGCTGTCAGAATATTCTTAAACTGCACAAAACTACTTGAAAAACTCTAGTAAATTGGAAAAACGCAATTTAAAGCAAGAAATCATCCAACCATGTGGCTATTAGGCCAAAATGCCCTAATACGTCACTTCCGCTGAATAGAAAAAAGTAGTATTCAAAAATAAATGTAGTCCCAACACAATTGTGATCATGACGAGTCAGTAAGCTAGTATGTAGGCACAGTTGTCATCTTTTTGCAATGACAACATGCCATTTCTTCTGAAAATGCGTTTATTTGGGTTATCTGAAGGAAAATTTCGAGTCAAGTGGCGTATTAATTTTGCCTTCATTTTTGTGAATTTAAATTTGTGTCTGCAGAGAGAGGGGGTAGTGTCACAATTGACCAATTATTTCAAAAAGTAGATGATTGGCCCCTATTGAGTTTAGTGTCAAGATGTAGCTTAGACATAGCTTTAGAACCTCAGATAGGCCAGTGAGGCCACATAAATCCATAACTCGAGATAAAAAGTCAGGCGTTTGCCCTTTTGCCCATTGACTAGTATGGTGACGTGAATTAGGGCAGTTTTGCCAATAGCTATAAGCACAGTGACCTACAGAGGGCGCTATCACAAACAAGTACTGCACGAACCGATAAATTCCCGGGTATTGTAACGCCCTTGATTCAAGTATTTGGATCATAACACTAAGAGACAGCTCGTAGAGTGGTTAGAATTGAATACACATTTGGATGACGTTGATGGATTCACTTTGCTATCTAACATAAAGTCAGGAAATTAAAGAGAACGTTTTGACATGCGACCATACTAATATGGGGGTACCTTATAAGGAGCAAGAAGCTACGGCCCCTCGAGCTGCAATCATACTACATTTCAATGGATGCTATTTTTACAACATTTGAAATAAAAATCCCAGTTAGAGCACATGTAAAAGCCTGTTTAGGTTAATGCCGATTAAAAATAAAGTCAAGCACAAAAACCAAGCTATCATTAATTAGTTAACGTAGAGATTAGGAAATGTCAGAATATTAAGTCGACATCTCTTAGTATTGTCCTTATTTGTATGATCCTTCAAATATGTTGGAATAACTATAATCGGCTTGAATAGTGTTGACTAATGAAAATGGAATCGTCATCGATACGATATTTGTGCCCCTTTTTGTCTTGAACTCTCCAAAGTAAGCGTTGGATAGGAGGGGACTTGGTAAAGTGAAATTCAATAGTGGATAATATCCCCAAAAGGGGGCCTTCCACTTCATGTAATGTAATTTGTAATATTCTTTAAGGAAATGAATGAATAATAAATAAATAATAAATAAATGAATTATAATATATTTTATTTGACCAAGCGACAGAGAATAAAATGGAATGCGTAGTTTTCGCCGCCATCATGGTAAATTAAATGTAACGGAAACTTCAGACAATGTAACGAATACTGACTCCATTCGATTGTGTATGCGTCAAACCGTTCCCCATCATGCCCATGCGTAATATGCCATGATCAGATATCGAGAGCTCTTTATGTCATGGTGATAAGCGCAGAGGAAGTTGCTGAAAGGGACTGCTATGGCAGATTTCATTCACGGTTAATTTCCCGAATCGCATCCGAGATGAATACGTAAACGTTGGCCTCAATAAACAACCAAGTAATCAGCTCTGTAGCCAGGGTTTCTGGGTTCAGGGGGTTCGAGAATCAATCAATTTTCACCATTTTGAGCACTTTTAGAATTGTCAAATTGTCAAATTTGACCCCCCCCCCCTGGGATTTCTTGGAAACTGAACCCCTGCATGACATTAGCTAGCTACGGGCCTCACGCAATTCCTTGTTTCAGTTTACCTTGAGAATATCATCCTTGTGGGCGAATAAACACAGAGTTGTCACTTCTGTGATGTCAACGGGAAATTTTGCTCGCTATGGTGAGGCGACAATTTTTCAGGCTTAATATACAAAAAATAATGGTATGTTCTTATTTCGGAAAAGCGCTCCCATATAAGACTACTTTCCCACGGAGGACAAAATTTGAAAATGGAAGCTTGAAACAAAAACGTACATTTTCGTTTGGTTCTCAGGTGCTATATGAGAAACATATGTCTTACCTTAAAGTGATATGGCCTTCGTTTAAGGCATTTTTAGCAAAATCTATTGAATATCACACGAAGAGCAATGTCTTACCTTGCTACTGGGGTAACTTCAGCTCATATTACTCAAGGATAGCGGAGATTTCTCATATTGAAGTGGGTACATTGAATTTGATTTCACATCGTCCACTTCGAATTTTGCACTCAAGTTGATGACGTCACCAAAGTATGTTTGTTTACACATTTTCTTGCATTTCGTTCAGAGCAATATTGCATATAAAACTTGGGAGAAAATGTGACCTACTTTTGAAAAGAGTAATTTTCGTGTTCTGTACATAGTGATTACATAATGTTTTATTAATTATGTGTTCCTGATATAATAGTTATTCTTTTGCAAGAAAGAGATTCAGTGATTGTATAGAAAACCGTCAGAAATAAGTGGAACCTAGAATATGAAAAAATTCTCCTAACCTCTCAATTGGAATAGCTCACAGGTCATAGCCTCGTTCTGATTATTAGTCACCTGACCTTTGACTAGGGAATCCCAAACAATGTGCAAGTGTGAGCAAATTTATTTCTGTTGAAAACGCTGAATTCTGAAGTCAAAACACAACCAAGGTCAGTAAAAACGATGTTTATATGTACCAATGTGCTTTGGGATTCAGTTTTTCTTATTCATATGTAGGTTGAACTAACATTTCATCCATTCCACATTACTTTAAGTTATCTTTTCTCTACTGTATCTAAAGAACTAACAAGATTATCACGCATAGACTTAGTCTTACGGTAAAACAGTTGCGTTTAATTAATATTCCGATACATGGTATTAAATATCCAAGTATCTTGATGTTTCGAGATTGCCGGCTATTAATATTGTAATCAACATTAGCAAAGCAAGACCAGGACTGTGCGTCAGGGTAGCATTAGCTCAGTCTGCGAATGACAGCTCAAGCTGACTTTGACTTCTCTGACTTTTCTTTCGTAATTTTGATGCAATCGAGTTTGCTATTGTAATTGGTTAACTGCAATAGAACAGAATTCGGTTGATAAATTGCATTTTGATACATGGACGAGGTTGTTAGTCGCATATTAAACAGAGCATAAAAAGACAACCTTTGTGATCAACTTACCTTAATTTTGTATTCAAACTAAATCAGGCAAGGCAGGAGAATATGTATCATATTATACTGAGAAACCGTGATTGTATTATCTCCAACTGACAGCCAATTATTGTTACGCAGTCTGTCAAGCGAACGTCGAAGGGCGGTGCAGCTCGGGAATTCAATTGTATATATATACGACATAGGATACGAAATTAACGCTCACTCAGTACTTGTACGGAGCTTGTCAATAAGTCAGTGAAATGACAGTGTTACAGGTAGGAGGAACACGACAATGACAGTGTTACAGGTAGGAGGAACACGACAACATCGTAGCATAGAAATTGTGTCTTCTTAACAAGGGGTTGGAAAGTAAAAACAAATGCCCAACAGCCTAAGCGATGGATCTTACTCAAACAGTTTGAAGAAAATAATCTTAAAAGTATTAAGTTACATCGTACATTCGTTATGAATGACAGACTTTCGAGGCAGTGTTGCTAGAGCAAAAGTTCCTAATTTACAAAAGTTTTTGATTTACAATTCATGATTCACAATAGTTCCTGATTTACAATAGTGTTTGATTCCAATAGTACTTAAATAACAATAGTTCGTGATAGCGATTATCTGGATTAACGACGACATTTCTGCTCAGATCGATTCCTTCATTCTTTAAAATGATCTACCATGATTTACCATAGAATGTAATGACTGACCATTATTTGTATCGAGAACAATGAGTGACTTACCGTTGTTCATGATTCGTTATCGTTGATGATCTACAATGGTTCATTTACAAGCAGCGATTTACCTTCAACTATTTGTATTTAGCTGTAAAAAATTAATAAGCATTCGAATGACTCACGGAGAATTGCTTGATACCATGTCATTCAAAAGAAGGAAGTATACAACGCGGAATCTATAAAACGTACAACGCCGCGAGGGTAGTTTTGTTTTATCAATATGCTACAATGTTTATGGTAATATAAAATTAACTAAAGAGGTATCGGGTTTAGTACCACATGAGTACTGGGAATGTGGAGATTGAAACAGTATGCGATTTAAACTCCTTCTGGATGTAATATAGCAATATGACAACCGTAATCTAAGTCATTAGGCGAAGACACATCGTCGTTCGTAAGAAGGATGAAGTTGTGATCCACAGTTTATTTATGAAGACCATATTATATAGAGACTGAATATAGGACAATAAATCGGAGTCAATCACCTTTGGAACGTTGTTTCCGGAATAGATTTAAACATGTGAAATTGGCGAGGCTGCCTTGGTTGACATGCACGCCATTATAAAAACGTCGTATTGGCGATAAATTCGCGTCTACGACCAATATACCGCACCGTAAATCCCAAGTTCTGACACACGAAAGACGTCAGAATCGTTTATAGGAAAATATATTGTCATTCAAGGGACGTATCTTTAATCGGTTGTTTATGCCAAAACAATGGAGTCATCAGCACCGTATCAGTCAAACTGGAACAACGCATGTATCACTTGACGACATTGGAGCATCGTCTTCATAATGAGAGAAAATTATACTTATCCACCATCAAGTGACATGAAAAGCCCAAAGGAAAACTCGACATTTACTGATCAATAGAGAATTTGAAAAATGTTTATGGATTAAGAGACTACAGGAGCTTATCATTAAGACATTCCATAAAGTCCCTCGGGCTCCACGATGCGCGGAGGTTGTTTTTCGCTCTGCTTGACTGATAACACATTGTCCGTGTCATTTCGGTTAATCTCTGTCTCATTACTCATGCTGCTTATCAACGAAGTCTTTTCTGCCGGAAAACAGGAACAAAGATGCTTCCTTAAAGACGCAACCATGATTTGTCGTCAAGGCGATATAAATGCTACGTCATTACCGAATTATGTGCCTTTAAATGTATCGTTCTTAGAAGTCTGCGCTTCGAGAGATGTGGTTTTCTCTGACGTCCGCGTACTAAAAGTATCTGCGCTAGGTTTACCTGAGATACGCTTGGGTGATTTTCATAATTTTCCCGGCCTGTTTGAGCTGGATTTATCAGAAAATAAGATAAGCATTATCAACGACCGTGCCTTTAGAGGATTATATAATCTTAGGAAATTGAACCTAAGTGGGAATAATATAGACGTTTTAACGGACATGACATTTAGGGGTCTGCACCAATTAACTTTTCTGGATATCAGCAGGAACAATTTGGAAAGAATAGAAACGGGCGTCTTTGATAGCTTGGTAAATATGTCAGTCTTAAACGCAAGTAATAATATCATAAATCAACTAACGGATAAGGTATTTTCCAGAAGTTCCAGTATTTCCACTCTAGATTTGTCGTATAATGAATTGCCGCCGATAATCTGGAGACATTTAAGCCTGTTATTATCGCTAGAAAGATTGTATATTACCGGGAACTATATAAATTGTAACTGCCTATCAACAGAAAAGCAATGGCAGTTTGATAATACGAATTATCCAAAGGGAATAAATCTTAAAAATAGTTCTGAAGATATGATTCCAATTGCTCAAAAGACAACTGGCTGTGGCAGTTTCTCAAGTGAAAACATTGGCTTTGAAGTAATATGCAACAGCTGGAAACGTATGGCTGAAAACATGTATAGAACGATATCCAATAATAATACACATAAAAGACGAACGTTAATTACAATGCCAAAGATACAAGGTCGAAATGACTCGAATTCAAATACTAAAGCAGTCAGTTCCTTTTCAAATACTAATTTCCACTATTCTGATGAAATCACGAGCCCTGAATATAATCCGATGATGGGAATAGGCACAGCTTGTGTCTTGAGTGGGATGCTTTTACTATTTCTATTGTGCTTATTGTACGACTCTTTAAAAAGACGTTTTTACAAATACCGACACAAGAAAAGACTAAAAAAGGAACTCAAGAACAAAGTAATCAATTCTACCGGTGTGACAATAATTGCTAGTGACTACGATAACCTTGACTCTGTCAGTGTTTTAGATTTCTCCATTCCAGAGAATACTATCACTCCGAAAATTCGTTGTAATGGAAAATATAAGCACCATTATTCAGATCTTGTTCTGTATGAAAAGTGTCCTTCTAAGCCACCCGAAGAAATGAAAGTCACGACGCTTTTCTAAAATCTAGAATGGCCTTAATAGAGGTACCCCCTTTTCAGGTTGATCAGCATTTCAAAAAGCGATAAGTGGAAAGTTTGAAAGTTTTCGACTAACATTTTCGTTGATAAGTTATTCTCTGATGACGTCACATCACTTTACATCACATGACATACATGTTTTCTAGAATTTATGACGTCAAGTTTAAAACACCTTGGCAACAGGACCCGGATGAACAATATCGCGAGTCCTTAAAACAAACAAATTATCTATAAATCAAGGAATGGTCATCGTTACAATGTTTATGATAACATGGGCGACATGACTAGCGATCCGATTCACGATGAATTTCTTCTCCCGCAAGCGGAAGATGGTGCCCCTGGAAAGTAAGGGTGATGCCTCAAGCTCAGAACTAAACGACCAAGTAAAGGCAAAACATCCTGCAAAAAACCTAAAAGGAGACTTCGGGAAGGGGGACCACCATTTTTGGGCATATATTTATGATAACGGACACACGTCACTCCTAAAAGTTGGATGTGATTTCGGGGATAGCTGGACAAACAAATACACGGACTTACCTAAGGGAGCATCGGCGGTTACAGGTACGAGGTATGGACATTGTATGTCAGTGTATTTTTGTATGAATGATGGTTTCAGAGCTAGCCGAAATTCAATTCTTTGACTAACTTTAAATCACCATTCATGCAATTTGTCTTAATATTCTGGAATCTAACTTTTTCCTGGACCCATCATTTCTCCCTAAATCAATCGATGTGTCATCGATTCCCGACCTAATAATAATTGAGGAAATAGTTTTGTCATTTTAGTTGCAACATTGAGTTTGATAAAAAAATTGTTGTTGTTTATATCGACTAAGTGTACTGTCAGATATTGGTAACAATGAGAGCAATGAATCGTGTGAATGTGGGGCACAGTTCAACTACGAAATTGGATTTGAGTTAATGAAAAATGTAATTACGAATGAAATGGTGAAATTTGAACTAGCTATGAATTTGGTGAAACACTACATCTGTAAGATTCATTCGCCTCATTTAGACTGAGACCTTAAAGATACAACAATTAGTGCAAGGGGGTCATTCAACGATCATCGACCAGTGTCAAAATATATTTAAGTTTGGATATTTCATCAAGGCTAACATATATTTTTATTATCTACAAAGAAACCCCCTGGATGAATATCATTTCACCTGATATTCCTCTTGAAACGCGGTGGATCTTAAAAATCTATAAGTGGGACTCCCTTTATAGAACCTTAACTGAATTTATACATCTTAATGCTGAAATTGATAGTTTATCTATACATTTTAAGAAAATAGGTATGTCAAAGAAGATGTTAAGCCAAATATTGACCTGATAGCTCAGAAAAACTAAGAAATTGCGAATTTTTTCTCTATAGTCCTTGTTGCCCCTTTAATTGCACCTTTGTACTTGAATTCTTGTGCCTAATGAAAAAATAAAAGTATCAATTACCAGTTTCATTCAACCACAATGCCTGATAAGATCAAATTAGACACATGGAAAAGGATGTGGTTTAAAAACCTATCTTTTGTAACAAAGAATTATGGTTCGTTAAACCGCACCGGGCCCGTAGCCAGGATTCGCCAAGGGGGGGGGGGGGGGGGTCAGTTTTCAAAAATTTCCATGGGGTTACTTTAAACAATTTTGGCCCAAATATGACTAAAATCACTTGAGTGCTCAAGATGGTGAAAAACTGCATGATTTTGAAAGAATTTTTGGCAAGGGGGGGGGGGGGTTCGCCCGAACCCTGCGAACCCCCCTGGCTACGGGCCTGCGGACGTCACAGAGTAAATTAACAAGCATGCTTTGATGCAATACTGACGTTCGTTGTAATTGTCTTACATGCGTAATTGTATATTGTTACTAATAGACATCTCGGGTTGAATGTCACACGTCTACATTCAGATAACATCTATTGTGCGAAAACGTAATGAGGTGATAATGGTACAGCAACAACGCTGTCAAGGATTGTATCTAATTCATGATCTCCCGATCGTGCCTGAAATACGTCTGTTTATCAATCAGTGCTTATTCCACTCGGTTTCTTTCTAGATTAATAATTCCTTCTATACAATTTCTTTCTAGAATAAGTACATTAATATATTTTTCTCTCTAGAATAAGTTCAATTTTTTTCTACAGTAAGTACAATTTTTTTAAGAATAAATATAATTTCCTTCGATCTTGAGTATTTAACCCTTTGTTAAATCTCTCTTGAATAATAATTATACTGCACTCAATTCATTTCTTGAATAACAATGTGTTGCCAAACCTTTTAAGGGGAGTGCACCGACGCACGTACCCACGAACAATGTCATAGATTTTAATATCTTTTTATAAATTGTACCGTTCTCTAATCAGATTCCAAGAGACATGTAGTGAAATGAGAACTGAATCTAAAAAAATGTCGCGCTGCGTGCTTGCTATCTCACGACTGTCACGTGAGATACCAAGCACGCGGCGCGACATTGGGAACCTATCCCAAGCTGATTTTGTTTAGAGACGAGTCCAATCAAAACGCAAGGTTCATTGGATGATCGGCAAGGGAGTTAATCCTCCTCAAATGAGCCTGAAGTCAACGTGCTTCATTAGACACAGTTCGTGACATTTGAAATCCATGATTGTATCAACATGCCTTCATCAGGAATTGCCGTCACGTATTTAATTATGCGATAATTCGTGATTGCTCGATTTCTCAGTTAACAATAATCTCTCACAGGGGCGTAGCCAAGATCTCAAATTTATACAATCATAACATTTCATTTTCACTAGCCTGAGCGCAGGGTTTAGTCTTTAAAAGTGCAAGGGCACATTTTCACGATTTCAATAAATTAGTTTTTGTTTGTTTAACAAAACAATGTCAATGAGTGTGCCTCGATCCTAGCTCCGCGCATGTCTTCCTGGCCAACGCTCTTAGCTTGTATATTCGCGAATGCAACTAACGACTCGCGGCTACTGGATTAACCTACCATTTATGACCAACTCATTTAAATATGAATTTAATAGTGGTAGGTGCTATTCATATTTAAATGAGTTGCCCATAAAATAGTAAGTTAATCCGGTAGCCGACAGGCGTTAGTTGCATTCGCGAATACAAGCTTAGTCTTCTCGACGATGTTTAGAAAATCATACATGCTATTCAAGAATTAAATGAAATAACAACTTGAAGCTACAGTATGCAATTACTTTTGATCAGGAAACCTTTAGTGAATTAGAATTTTATCTTTGTTGCCAATAACCTATCTTAATGAGGCATTGGCTGCAAGCGGAGTCAAGTTCGGTACCATCGATGTATCTTGAACATTGAAATGACTTACGGTTACGATCCTGTTCTCGTCATCATTCTACCAAATGTCAGATTTTAAAACCAATGTAAGAGGTGTTAATTTTATTTGGCAGAGTCAGATGTACAGGGGCCCTGGTATAGGGGGTGACAAAATTGCAAGCATCATATGCCATTGACTTACCAATAAGTCCCCTACAATCTCAAATTCAATATCTCCCAAACTATCGATGTATCAATCGGTAAAGTTGTTTAAGTTTCAAAGTGTAAAATGAGGGGAAAATGTTTAAAGTCTCCCAAATAATAAAAATGTGACCATATTTATACATGTAGACGCACGAATGCATTATCGTAAAAAAAATTTCCTCATGTCATGCCATCATGCAACCAAATTCCTCTGAATTATGCATTGTATCATTGACATGCGCTAATCGATGACCATGTTGAGTATACGTTCCTTTGTCGTTTTCTTGTAAAATATTCATTGGATAAATTTATTACATTGTATACGGACTCCATGTTTTGGATACCATTAAAATACAAAGTGCTCAAAATGTGTGAGTATCTATGCAGCCCAGAGTCTCGTAATCTTTTAATTTCTTCTTTTTTTAAAAAAAATAAGCCACGTTTATTGTGGGATACACAGTTCCTACTTACCCTGGGGATTTAGATAAAGAGAGACTCTATAAATCAGAATACACCACGTCGGTTAAGGGCGTCTATCTTAATGAATATCTAACGGGAGTATTTCTACATCCCAGCCCAGCTAGATTGATTTGGGGTAGATGAACGAAATATTGACTTTGTGTATAATCTCTTATGAGACGATAATTTGATGGCAAAATAAATTTGAAAATAATGAAATCCGTCTGCTATGAATATGAAGTTAACAGCCAAGAACTCTTAAAACTACACTAAGTATTTTTTTTAAATTTATTTCTTATTTCCTTCATATATATGACATTACATCAATACAAATTATTTGCAGTGGTGAGTTAACATTTTAAACATTCTTATAATAAAGCGAGAAATTTATGTGTATAATATATGGCCGAGATTTCCATGTGACGAATATCAATCATAACAGACAGAATCTCATTCAGTTGGACACCCTAGATTGGTGTATATACTGCTTGATTAAAAATAAATTGAATATAAGATGTGAAACATTTTGATATAAAATACCTTGGTTGGTTTGATTAGGTGAGGTCTACCCTTTGCATTCGTTCGACTTTGCTTCTCAAAAGAGAGCTTCGTCTTCGATAGTTTGTAACTAGACTCTGCGTGCAGGATAGGTGAGGTCATGTATTGTTCAATTGTTTCCCTAATAAGAAGCCTTACCAAGGTACGCGTATGGCCCCTAGGTAAGGAATCCCTCCGTTTTTCAATCACATGTCATCCCAAATCGATTCTCGACGATCTCCCATCAGTCTTCAGTATAATCTTTTCACAATTTCTTTTTATGGCTTCCGCCCCCCCCCCTTCCGTCCCCTTATCTCCCCTCTCCCATCTTATTTTCCATCATATCACATTCACATCCCATACTCATTCCTCCGATCCCCTCTATATCCAATAGATACATCTGAAATCCATTCAGAAGATGGTAAAGGGCCGGGGGAAAGCAGTATGAATTATAGGCGAGGGTTGACTTTGACAATGTATTACTTATTCTAATGAGCCGTGATGGGTAATGAAACGACACTTTCTTCAGAGGCATCATAAACGATAAACAAGGATAAAATATAATAGACCCATCAAACTGATTAATATTAACGATCGCTTGGGATACCAAAGGAGTTTCACCACTATGGCACGATATTGGATTTTTATTTTGTCCCATTTGAATTTTAATGTACCACGTCTTGAAAAAGAAATGAAACGCATGCTCTGGATTATCGTATGCTCATCAAAAATCGAGTATTTAGATTGATGTACAAACTAGATTTGAGAATAACTGTTTTCCGATGGGAGACTCCATGCGAGAAAAATTGAAATCCCTGTTGACAATCCAATTTCCTATGCAGTAAATAACTATGTTTGTCAGGCCCGTAGCCAGGATTTGCCAAGGGGGGTTCACTTTTTGAAAAATTCCAGGGTGACGATTTGGTCCAAAAATGGCCAAAATCACTTAAAAGGTGCTCACTCAAAATGGTGAAAAACTGCATGATTTTGAACGATTTTTTGGCCGGGGGGGGGGGAGTGTCGAACCCCCGCCGCTCCTACGGGCTACGGGCCTGCCTGTACCATAGGTATACATGTATGTCATCCTAGCAATTTTGTTG